CAGGCGCATTGCCGGATTGCAAGTTGCCCAGCGACGTGCCGCGTGAGCGATGGCCACATTCCTGGCACGTCACGTCCAATTTAGAGACTGCATCCTTCACGTGTGCCTTCCACCAGGACCAATCCATGCGGCTGGCATCGTGTTGATCAGCATAGCGATCGCGCAATATCTCCAGGAAACGAGCATGACCTTCGCGGCTAGACCAGGGAATGGCCCCGTTGCAAAAACACCCGGGCGCATTGCCGGATTGCAGGCTGCTCAACGTCGTGCCCCGGGAGCGATGGCCACATTCCTGGCACGTCACGTCCAATTTAGAGACTGCATCCTTCACGTGTGCCTTCCACCAGGACCAATCCATGCGGCTGGCATCGTATTGATCAGCATAGCGATCGCGTAATATCTGCAAGCAACGAGCATGACCTTCGCGGCTAGACCAGGGAACGGCCCCGTTGCAAAAACACCCGGGCGCATTGCCGGATTGCAGGCTGCTCAACGTCGTGCCCCGGGAGCGATGGCCACATTCCTGGCACGTCACGTCCAATTTAGAGACTGCATCCTTCACGTGTGCCTTCCACCAGGACCAATCCATGCGGCTGGCATCGTATTGATCAGCATAGCGATCGCGTAATATCTCCAAGCAACGAGCATGACCTTCGCGGCTAGACCAGGGAACGGCCCCGTTGCAAAAACACCCGGGCGCATTGCCGGATTGCAGGCTGCTCAACGTCGTGCCCCGGGAGCGATGGCCACATTCCTGGCACGTCACGTCCAATTTAGAGACTGCATCCTTCACGTGTGCCTTCCACCAGGACCAATCCATGCGGCTGGCATCGTATTGATCAGCATAGCGATCGCGTAATATCTCCAAGCAACGTGCATGACCTTCGCGGCTGGACCAGAGAACGGCCCTGTTGCAAAAGCACCCAGGCGCATTTCCGGATTGCAAGTGGCTTAGTGTCGTGCCACGTGAGCGATGGCCACATTCTTGGCATGTCACGTCAACTCTGGATTGTTTGTTGTCGACCTGGTCCTGCCACCAACTCCAGCTCATGCGACTAACATCATACCTGCCCGCCTCGAACCGACCAAGGATTTGCAAGGCTCGGAGCCAGCCAGCCCGGCTCTTCCAACGGAATTGCAGCTCTCGCACCTTTGCGGTCTGCCTTTGGGGAGCAGGCTGCTGTGGCTCCGAATTGAGGGCGGCATGCGCCCTGCGTAGGCCTCTGCTCCGCTCCCGGCTTGCAGTAAAGGATATGCCCACACCCAAAGGTAGCACAAACAACGACAGCGGGATTGCCAGAACGAGCCATGAAAGAGAGCGCGCCATGGCTGATGGCAAAGCAGAGCTGCAAGGATTGCCCAGAAAACTCAAAAATGCCAGCTGACAGCCCGATATGCAGACAGCTCACCCTCTCAGTCCCTAAATCCCCCCCCTGGCACTGTGCCGCCTTTCCAGGCTCCCCAGGCACCCAGCTTGCAGGCTTCCGCCGCGCAAATGACCTGTTCTGGGGCCAATGGGTTCCTTCTGGAATTTTCTATGAAAAAGAAAGCATAAGGGGGGTCACGTGGGGCTTTTGCTGGGAGGGGACGAGGTCACGTCTTGATAATTGCGCCCCTATGCGTGTCACTCCGGGTCCGCCCTCCTTCCCACCTCTTCGTTGCAGGGCCTCTGCACGGACTTGTTCTCCACCACCTCGTTCGGGGAAGTGGGCACTCTGCAATGCTTGACTAGCCGCCTCAAAAAACTGTTTTCGGATTGGCGGGCAACTGCATGAATGAATTCTTCACGGGTGTGAGGATCCCCACTTCCCAGCACTTGTCATGGACCCACTGGCTGCATCCGAAAAAAACCGGGTTCAAAAATTGCTGCAGCCGTTTTTTTGCAGTCGTTATAGAAGCCCCCCCAAGCAGATTCCGAAAACCAAAGCCCTACACCCTCTAGACCCTAAATCCTATGTAAACCCTAACAAACCTCCACACCCCCCCCCCCCCCTCCCCCGCCCCCGCGCCGGCCTCAAAGCAGCGCCAGCTTGTCCGGAATCGGCGCTGGACCCCGGCGCAGGTGGCGGAGCAGGGGGTCCAGGGCTCCCAGTCTCCTTGTCATTTAAGTGCCGGCTTCCTCTTGGGCTTAGGGGTTGAGTTTTTTAGGCTTTAAGGGTTGGGGTTTATAGGGTTTAAGGGCTTAAGTACTTAAGGGTTTAGGGGCTTCTTGTTGGGGAATTGGAATTGGGGAATCCGGTAGCCCATCAATCCTCCCTGTTTGTGCCTTTCGAAGTGCTCGGGGTTTTGTAGGGTATAAGGATTTAGTGTCGGGCTAAAGGTGTGGAGTTGCGAGGGGCTGGGCACGCAAAGACTATCGTTTCGCATCGTTCCAGTGACGACAACTTTGCCGCTGATGTTGTGGACCAACTACAGCCTGACGCCTCGTATGAAGCACCAGAGGGTTTCGCGGTTTCGCGTTTAGGGTTTCGGGCTCAGAGTTTTAGGGTTTGGGTTTCAGAGCTCTGGGTTCAGCATCCTGACATCCACACCTTTCTACAAGGGTTTCGAGTTTCAGGGCCCAGGCCTGTGGCCAATGGGCACTCAGACTCAGCAGCTTCCTCTGCCTCGATCAGCAGCTCCTCCTCCTCAAAGGCAAGCTCTTCACGGCTGTAGGGTTGACAGGGTGCAAGGATCCAAGGCTTAAGGCCGTCGACGGCTGACAGGGCTTCTGAACACATCTCTCAAAAGACCTATGCACCCTGAGGATTTCGGGTCTATAGGGTAACCTCCTTAACCCTAAGTGCCTCCCTACGCGCCCTCAGACCTCAAACCCAGAACCTCCCCAAACACTCCAATCAATGGCCTCGGGCGCAAAGTGAACCACCACAGCTGCGACCTGAGAGCGAGAGCTTGGCAGGGATGGCATTGGACCCCATGGGCTTGGGGCTTCGATCTCTCTTGGGGTGCTTACGGTAATAAAGCAGCCTCGCATGATAAGGAGCAACGCTACAACGGACTTTAAAAACCGAGAGGTCCTCCATATGCCTCTGCACCTGGTTTTTGGCAAGCCCCAAGCTCAAGAAGCTCTGCGAACGCCTGGGCCCACCACCACCCCTGAAGGTGTTGTACAAACCCAGCCCCTCGACGCTCAAGAAGCACCAAAGTCATCCTAGAGCCATATACGCCCCCAAAAGTGCATGGAAACTCCCGAGCCTTTCTTGGGTCGACTCAGGCACCCCATTCTTATTCAAAGCCCTCACCCCCTTAAAACCCTATACTCAAGGCTGAGGCGTCGGCAACCACCAGGGTTAACAGCGCTAGGCTCGCCCACACCAGTTTCGGCAGCAGGGCGACCTTGGTTGGGATTTTAAGGCTCTTAGAGGGTTTTGGGTGTTGGGTGTCTGGTAGTCTAGAGTTTAGACCTAGGAAGAAGAAAAGGGTACCGGAACCATTCCTGACTTAGGATGATTGATAAGCGATCCGAAGCCAAAGAAAATATCTACTGCACTACAAACCAGGCCATCGAAACGAAAAGCATACTCCCTCCAACCCTGACATTTGGGATGTTCCCCCTTATACTGACCGTCCTTACTGGGGATTGTAGCAGGGGGAACTCTAATCCCTATTAAGGACTGCTAGTATAAGGAGGAACATCCCGAACTAGCATCGTGCTCAGGCACCACCTCCTCGGGCACTTTGGCCCAAAGGTCCGCTGCTGTGAAGGTCGGGAGTGCGCTCTTCCAGGCGTCGGCCCTGGCAAGAGGAACTGACGTGGGGTCTCAACGAGGCTTGCTCTTGCATTTCTAAAAGGAATATGTCCTGATGGAGGCCCGCAAATGGTTGGGTTCTAGATCAGCCATGTGCCCCCAATCACTTTTTTGAACCCAGACGGTCCCCCATCACAAAACCCTTTTTTTCATCACTAAACCCTAAACCCTAAAACCTAACCTTTTTGAAGCCGGACCTGTTGGCTGCCAGCCTAACCCTAAACCCTAAACCCTAAACCCCAAACCCTATAAACCCTAAACCCTAAACCCTAAACCCTAAACCCTAACCTATGAGGGCACTCTCCCTTAAACATCCGCCATTCTCTGCCCAGCTGCGTGGCCGCCCCCAGCAGCGGCTCGCTCTCCAGCTCGGTGCTCTCCGACGTGCCCGAGGAGGCCAGGGAGGAGGAGTTCGGCATTGGGTTTAGGGTTTAAGGTTGAGGGTTGAGGGTTTAGGGTGTAGGGTTGCAGGCTTAGGGTTGAGGGTTTGGGGTTTAGGTGTATTTCTGCCACCCGCCAAGCAGACTAGGGTTTAGGGTTTCGGGTTTAGGGAGGGGGTTAGTTTTCGGCTTTGGAGTTTATAGGGCTTGGGTGAACGTTCAGGAAACTTTGGTGGATCTGGGACCCCGGCAGAGTTGCAGTATGGTTAGGACCGGTTTTCGATATAAGGAGACAATGGACTGATAGAGCTCTCGCCTGCGATGTCTGGCTGGTGCTTTATACTTCTCCAGCACCCAGGAAGAACAAGGTCAAGCTTTCACATTCCTACTCAATAAGGAAGCCCACACAGTTTAAAGTTCAACTACTGGCCCAGTAAGGTTTAAGTCTTCAAGGCAAGGGTCTCGACGCTGTGCTGAACTCACTTTGGAGCATGCTTGGAGAGCCAGCGCCGCGGCGGAAAACAAGAACTTGGAGGGCTACCCCTAAGGCATTCTCACCAAACTCCCAATGGCTTGAACAGGGCTGCCGAGCACTGGGGCGAAAGGGGGCCCTACCCATTTAACACTTTCTTGGTAACTATGGCGTATGGTACGGTTGCAGGGTTTAGGTTTAGTAGGGGTTCGCAGGTTTGAGCACCCCACATTTCCCGAAAGCCCCAAAGCCCTCACTTAGACCCTAAACCGTCAACTTCCCTGAACTTAGGCCCTATAAACCCTCTCTCTCTCTCGCAGACTCGGATTAGAGGGCCCAAAACCCCTAAACCCTCAAAGACTCAATCCCTACACCCCCTGCACCCTGCACCCGGATATCCTCAGGCACAGGGGTCGGCTCCGCTGCTTTGGGCCCGCCACCTGCAAACACACAGGGCCGAAGGTAGGTTCCACCCGTGTGGCCGAGTGTAGGGCGTGTAGGATTTCGACTCTCGCACTCGCTGAAGCAGGCAAGGATTCCCTGCCCGGGTTTAGGACTTGGGGTTTAGGGCTTTCATTTTTTCGTGGCGGTTAAAACTTGTGAGCTCTAGGGGCTCAAGGGCTTCTTTCGCGTTTGGGTCTGAAGGCCTGGAAACAACCAAATGAACCCGAAAACTGGGGGGATCATACACCCCGAAACTACACAAAAAACACCCACTTGTGGTAATTGCTTTTTCTGTACAATTTGGAAACCTAAGGATGAACCATAAGCCCTTGCACTCGTAGGGTTCCTTTCGTGCCCAAGAACACCCAGGGGTTTGGGGCTTACACGGGTGGAGTTTTGGGGATTCGACTCTTGCGATCCTCCACCCGCCTCATGAGTCAAGTGGTTTAGGGTTTGGGGTTTGGGGGTTTAGGGTTTAGGGGTTTCGACTCTTGCACCCGCTGAGGCAGGCAAGGACTCTGTTGGGGTCCGGCTGCCTGCTCAGCTCTGATCTGGTTTGGAATTCGGGTCTAGGTTTTGGGCTGTAGAAGGTGAAGATCGATGCAAAGGACTGGTCCGAGGAGCCCCTTACTCTACTTACTTGGTGCCCCTGATACGTCAGGGACTTTTGAAACCTAAGCTCGACCCGAAGAGGCCAAAGGCAAGCCCGACTCGTTCTCGCGCCGCGAAAAAGAGTGTGAGTGTGAAGGCACCCTCAAAACTGTCCGATCATGGCCCGCAGCTTCGCCAGGAGCAATAGCGCCTGTTGCCACTCCCCCGCTTCTTCGCACGCGCCGATGGCCGCGCCGTAGCTGAAAACTGTCGGCAGAAAGCTTCGGGAGGAGTGCTCATTGAGCAGGAGAAGCGCTTGCTGCCACTCTGCCGCCCTGCCGCAGGCGGCGACGAGAGAAGTGTAGGGAATGACATTCGGCTGCAGCTGTGCCTCATCCATTCGCTTCAGCATACTCAGAGCTTGCCTCCACTCCTCGGCCTTGCAGCACGCGCTGATGCAAGCGCTGAAAGTCACCACGTTGGGCTGGATGCTACCCGCCTGCATGTTGCTCAGCAGTAGGGAGGCCACTTGCCACTGCCCCTGTTGGTCGCAAGCGCTGATCGCCGCGCTGATGGAGATGACGTCGCACTGCAGTCGTTTCCGGGCCATGTCCTCCAAGAGGAGCAGCGCCTGTTCCCACTCCCCTGCCGTCTCGCACGCGGTGATCGCCGAGTTGCAGGTGACCACGTCAAGCCGCAGGCGCTCTGCCTGAAGCTGGCCCAGAAGGGCACAGCTCCTATCCCAATCGCCATCCCGGCCTCGAGCAGCGACAGCGGCTCCATAGGTGACTGTATCCGGCTTTAGCTCTCGCACGCAGGCCTCCTCCACGACGACGAGGGCCCAATGCCACTCGCTGCCCTCCTCGCAGGAGGACGTCGCCGCGTTGTGTGTGACGATGTTGGGTTCTAGGTTGCACCGCCTGGATTCACAAAGGCAAAACATGGCAACCTGCCAGTGCAGTGTCTTTCCACTGGCAGTGCTCACGGCGCTGTATGTGAAGACGTCAGCTTCCACCTCGCTGTCTTCCATGCCGTGAAGAAGGAAGAGCGCCTGCTCCCAGGAGTCACCCTTCTCGCACGAGCTAGTGGCAGCGCTGCAGGTTATGACCGTTGGCCGCAGTCCCTCGTTGGCGACCGCGCCCAAAAAGTGCAAGGACTTGGACCACTGCTGCCCTCGCTCACATGCACTGATCGCGGCGTTGTAGGAAACGACGTCCGGCTTCAGGGCACACTGGCCCGCAACTGAATTCAGAACGGCGCAGGCAACTTGCCATGACTCGCCTTTACCACATGCAGTGATGGCCCGGTTGTAGCTGATCAAAGAGGGTTGCAAATTCCACTGAAGCAGCGCAAGCAAGGACACCTTCCACGGTAAGCTCGCACCCCGCCATCCAGACCTCATCACCCTGCCCTCAAGGGTTAAAGTGGAACCCTCACTTCAGGTGTGGGGGTATCAGGGCCCTAAGGGTCCATGTACCTAAAAATAGGGAATACTTGGGCCTTAAAGTGCCTCCTAAAAAGGGACTCTTGGGCCCAAGTAAATATTATATTAATATGAATATGTATATATATATATATATGTGGTTATATGTGGTAATATATATATATATATATATGTGGGTATATGTGGTAGATGGACCCTTCGGGGGGTTTTAAATGTGATGCCAGGAACTGAAGCAACCTTTCACTGCAACACCGAGCCGCTGCAGCTGCGCAAGACAACTCCACGTGCATCTCCCCTTATCCAGAAATACCACGGCCCCCTTCACCCTAAACCCTGAACCCTGAACCCGAAACCTTCAACTAAACCCTAAACAACCCAAAAACCCTAAAAACCCCAATTCTGTCCCAGAAACGCGAGCTCGAGAACTCCCCGAAGCTCTGCAGCTCTTGAATGCTGTGGCCTAACCTTCAACACTTGAGTAAAATCAACCCTGTATCCTGCCTGGCGCTGGTGACCTGCTTTCGGCCGACCTGGGGGGAACCCTAAACCCTAACCCCTAAACCCCTAAACCCTGAACTTGAATTCCTTCTGGTTTTTGGGTTCGGGATCTCTTTGGAGCTTTACTCTTTCTTTTAAAGAGGAGGGAAAGGGAGGTCGGCTTGAGGCTTCGGAGGACCCGCGTTGGGCCTGCGCGACTTGCCCACAAGCCTGTGTCGATCTAAAAACCTGCCTTATAGCGGACTCATGGGGCAGGGCCAGTTTAGGGTTTAGGGCTTAGCGGCTTAGGGTTTAGGGGTTTAGGGCATTTAGGAGTTTAGGGTGAAGTGTAGCTGCACACAAAACTCTTGGCAGATGTCCCGGCATCAGCCGTGATCACCATGATAGGTTTTCAGTGGAGTTGAGGCCGTATCTGGGATACCTTCACATGCAATGCCTTCGAACAAGAACTCTAAATACGCGCCCAACGCACTCCTAGGATTTAGAAAATCCCGTGTTGAGCTCCCCGCTCATTCACCTGCACATGAGGCACGTTCCGTGGTTTGGAGGCATGGGAGGTGGGGCAGGAGATCTTCACAGGGTACCCGGGCTTCGCTGACGTGACTCTCAGGTCTTGAAAGTTGAGGTTGGTTTTGAAAAATATCGTTGCGTTATATTGTTTGAGTTGTTGTTCTTTTGCCACCTACCTGGCTGACCCGGGGGGCACTGCAGGGCAACACCTACACGCTGTCGGCAGTACGGGTGTCGGGTTTGGGCTTAAAGGGCCTGCGGCTCAAGATTTTTCTGGGTGGGGTGTTCTGAACAGGGCATGCTGACTTTCAAAGGCTTCGGCAAGAAAAACGTCTAGTACTTGTAGCGACATCATGTGCCCTGCCCCAATGAGCGGGGCTCCACTCAAAATCCAAGAGCCCTGCTAAATTCCCACATAGGGCACAAGACCTTTATACCCTATTTGAATTCCTCCGAACCAGCCCCCCGCCCTCCCAAGCAGCTTTTCCTCGTGGCAGAGCGCGTGTCGAAAATTGGGGCAGGGGAGTTGCGTCGCTTGGCGGTTCCACGTCCCAAAACTGTGAACACCGATGATTCGGTGGTTTTTTACAGCTCGGCAATACGGCAGCAGGATCGCTTCATGAGAGGTCCCGAAGGCACGTGCTGTAAGACCGTTTCGATGACTCTGACTTACTTTGGGTAGCGCTACAGGCGGTTGCTTCTAGAACCATTTCTAATCTAAGGCACGGTTTGATCATCTGAGTCATCTGGGCAAATGCTGGCAGGAACTGGCTATGAGCCCGGTTGCCTACAGACGTCTGCTTGCGGGGATGTCAATGAGAACAATATATGTGCACGTTGTCAACTGCAGCCTGCTGTGGCCGTATGGCCAAAGCCATTGCGCGCGTTGAGCGCTGCCCTCGCGGCTTGTGGGATGCGCGAAGCAGTTGCTGCTCAGTTTCCCTTCGTCTTCTTGACCTGCTGGATGACCTGTCACAGCTACCCTGCTGCTCTCCCATGACCTCTAGGACCAAGCCCTTCTCTACCCTCTTCCCTACCATACGTGCAGCTGTGATGGCAAACGTGAAAATATTCCCGCTGTTCAGTTCGCAAGCACACCAATATGCTCCCAAAACGCCCCTTTATGGGTTTAGGGTTTTGGGGTGGAGGGTTTAGGGTTCTTAAGCAAACAGTGTAGCGCCTCCTGGGATGCCCCGAAGAATTTGAGGAGGTGGGGCGCCGTGAGGGCCATCTGCGCCATGATGCTGTACCTGGTCACCCGGGCCCTATTATTGTTAGGGTTTAGGGTTAAGGGTTTAGGGTAGAAAACCCCATCGTTTCCACCCTGAACCCAAAGGCGTTTGGGGTGCAGGGAATAGGGCTTAGGGTCCAAAACCCAAAACTAAACTCAAGACCCTCACCCTCCCCACCCTCCCTGACATAGTGCAGGTCCTGTGGTGTGGTGGTGTGACTGTTGTTGATGGGGGGAAGGTGTCCTGAATATTGAAGTTGCGAAAAGCCAACCGCGAAACTGCTTGGGTGGCTACACTTGATGACGATTCTTGGCAAGGGAGGAAGCTTGAAGCAGACTGTGTGGTCTGCTTCTCCAAGGAGAAAGCAGAAGTAGGCCTGCCAAACGTCTGGGCCAAATGCCTCATACGTCCAGAGAAGGTACGCCAAACATCCCAGATGCCCAAAGGCACCCTCTGAAAGTCAAGTCCCCTAAGCCCTAAGCCTTCAGCCCTAAGCCCCAAAACCTAAACCCTTATGGCCTTATAACCTAAACCCTGAACCCTAAACCCTAAACTCAATGCCCCACCAACCCCGAAGTTCCTGGTGCCGAGAGGGTGCTTGGCAATTCGGCCAACGAGGATGGCCATGAGCAGCACGAAGTCACCTTCGGCAGCCCAGGAACCCTCTTGCAACAAAGGGTGCCCCTGTTTTCTTTGGTTGGTTACTGTATAATAGGGAACCCAGAACTCCCCAAACAAAAGGAAAAAAAGGGTACCACTGGGCTACCCAGTCACTCATCTTTGACCTCGGTTTGAGGGATTAGGGGTTGATTTAGGGGTCTTCTTGTTCGCCACCCGCCCAGCACTCGCGCACACGGCGGGGGCTACTTCAGAGGTCCACAATACCGCTAGAGGGTTTGGGGTTCAGGGGTTGACATGTGGTGCGCCCCCCCCATCTCCCCTTGCATGATAAGCTGAAGTGACTCTGGTGGCGGAGATGCTTTTAGCTTGGTAGCCCAATAAGCCTAAGACAGTAAGGGCAGCCTGTTTTGGTTTGGTTACTTTATAGCGAGTCCGTTAAAACCACAAAAAAGGGGAAAAGGGTTACGCTCGGCTACCAAGCTATTGTCAGAGCCCGAGAGGCAGCTTGGCGAAGAAGATCAGCGGATGGAGGATGATCGGCATCGCTGCGATGGGGATGGCGGCAATGGGTCCATAAGCCTGCGGTCCAACGGAGGGCTTACAAAGGGCTTGATGGGTTCTGCAGCAGCCCAGACAGAAACTGTACAAAAGGCAACCTAAACTAAACCCTAAACCCTAACCCTGAACCCTAAACCCTAAACCCCAACCCTAAGCAGGACTCAGAGGATGTCTTCCACCCCGCTCTCTCCCAGCCCCCACCCCCCCCCCTCCCGGCGGTGTTGTTGTTGGCTTCATCCGGGCCTGCATCATGCCTTCAGACCACGACCACCACTTGCCTTGGTGGAGCTCTTCTTAGTAGCCCAGCAACCATACTAAAGCGTACCCTGTCTGTAGTTGGTTCCTTTTAGAAGGGAACCCGGAAACAAAAGAAACAAGGGTAAAGGGTACCACTGGGCTACCAGGTCTTCAGGATTTCAAGACTTTCCGGTTTTTAGGGCTTCTGGGTTTGTAAGGGAAGGGTGAGGTCGGGGAATTGCTCGGTTTGGGAAAAAAAACCCAGAGAGGGCTCAGTCGAATGGGTTCTGGACATCGGGATCTCAGGTTGGGCGGAAGCCCCGCATTAAGACGCAATCATATCATGGTATATAGTAACATATACTTAGATTTTCGATAAAAATGCAAGAAATAAGACTAGTTACTACTCCAGCACCAGGAGATCATAAGACAAGTAGGCTTGTTTTTGTTTTTAAATTATCCCTCTATAACCGTTCAGACCACTCTCGAATCACAACCTGAGAGGGTTCTCAAAGTGTTGAGATGTGGCATCGCTGCGTCTTTCTCCGTGAAGGCGTCTTTACACTGCCCAGGAGTGCCTTGTGATTTTCTTGGAGGCTGCCACCAAACCCTATTCCCCAAACCCTAAACCAAAGCCCTAAACCCTAAACCCTAAACCCTGAACCCTGAACCCTGAACCCTAAACCCTAAATCCTAAACCCTTTTGAGCAACGGACTTTGAAGGCTGCCGGCACACAAACCCTAAACCCTAAACCCTAAACCCTAAACCCTAAACCCTAAACCCCAAACCCCAAACCCTAAACCCTAACCCTAGACCAGTACCCTAGACCCTAACTAAACCGGACAAAGCCCTAAACCCTAAACAAAACCCTAAACCCTAAACCACGTCTGCCAGCTTCTGGATGGTGCAGGGACTGTTTTGGCTGCGTGCGCTGCCGGTAGGCCAAGAGCCTCGAACTGATTCAGATTGCCCTCCTGCGCGCCGAAAGAACAGGCGCCCTTTCCCAGATGGTAAATGGGGGTTTCCGAAATTAAGGTTTAGGGTTTAGGGTTCTTATATGAGGGTTTCCGAAATTACGGGTACCCTTTTGGGGTCCTGATTGCAAGGGGGATCCTACTATTTGGGTGTCTATATCAGGGGTCCGTTAGTCTCGTCAACCCCCAAATAGCATGGGGTTCTTTGAACAGCTGCTGGTCTTTAGCCTTCAACTAGGTTTAAGAGTAGAGTGTCATTCAAAAATCGGACCTTTCTTATTAATATTCAAAAATCGGATCTTCCTATTTATTTGGGGGGGGGGGGGGGTTTCCCGGGGGCACGATCGGTGTGATCCACAGGGTGGAGGAAAGGCATCGGTCCGCTCTGCGTTGTATGTACAGCGCGCAGTTGAGGGCAAAGCCCATAAATGCTCCAGGATTCCGCGCGTCTTACACCACCCGGAAAGCAGAGCACTCGCACACTTGGATCATAGCCACAAGCACACAGGAAGCCACCCCCCCCCCCCCCCCGCGCCTAAACCCTAAACCCTAAACCCTAAACCCTACAACCCTATAACCCTATAACCCTATAACCCTATAAACCCTAAACCAAACCTGAATCCCAAGTCTTTCTGAGATCTTGCCCCGGCCATCAAGGGTCTTTTTTTGGGCCTAGGCCTGTTCGGTGGAGAGGTCTTCTCCAGCCTTGCGGCTCTCAGGTGTACCTTAAGAACCCCCAAAGCCTAGGGTTCAGGGTTTAGTATAGGGTTTAGGGTTTAGGGTTTAGGGTTACGTTTCTCTAGGTGATTGTGTATGCGTAGGGTTTTTGGTGTTGAGTGGTAGGGGTTTCAGGCTCCGTGGTGGAGGGCGCAACGGAATCGCCGAAGGAACCGCGTGAGGCGGTTCAGGGCAGGCAAACGGGTCCCTTACCAGGCCTATAGCAACTGAAGGAACTCATCTAGCTACAGGCTTTATATAGGAATCTAAAAAAACTGCATATATATATATATATATATACAAAATTATATAACATTAATTAACATAGATTGGACATTCAGTCTGACTTATAATGATTTATACTATCCCTTATCTGGAAGCTTTTCTGTTGGCCTCCTCTGGGTCGGTGCATCACAGGACGACGTCGAAGACGTAGGAGGCCAGGCCGAAGCGGAGCACGAAGCACAGGCACCTTTGGGGGGGGGGGGGTTAGGGTTTGTTTTTGTTTAGGGTTTAGGGTTTAGGGTTTAGGGTTTAGGGTTTAGGGTTTAGGGTTTAGGGTTTAGGGTTTAGGGTTTAGGGTTTAGGGTTTAGGGTTTAGGGTTTAACATAGTCCCTTAATACCCCCTTAAACGGGTACCCCTAAGATACCCCTTACAGAAGAAAC